ATCAAAAGGACGGGGAGAAGCTCAGAGGAGAGTGTTTTAAGTCAGGATACTTTAAGCTGCATGAAACTGAAAACCCCTCTCAGTGCCCATAACCCAGTGAGTCTCTCTTATGACAGGAAGTCCTGAGGTAGGCTTAAGTCAGCCATGCAGCAATGTCTGCAAGGCCTAGGTTCTCTTCAGTTTCTCACTCTGCCCTTGTTGGTGTGGTCTTTACTATCAGACTACATATAGGATCCAGCTGTCGTATCCAAACACAATTAAATCCAAGGCCAAAAGGAAACCATCTTTTAGGTGTGAGGAACCCCTCAGCACATTTTCCTCATGTCTCATTGGCCAGAATTGTGTCACAGCCCATTTCTGAATGAAACATTGGCAAGAGTCAAATTGTCTTAGAAGGTCAAGACATCCCTTGGAGCCTGGCAGGGGACTGGTCTTCCCAGAAGATATGGATGTTAAAAGAGGGGGGACACTAGAACACTCCTCAGTTTATGAGAGGAAGGAGGCAATGGGGGAGGGGAGGTAACCAGCTGTGCTGGTTGCATAGAAGTAAAAAAAAGGACTAGAGGAGCAGAGACAGTAAAAGGGAGAGGAGGGAGGCAGAAAAGTGGGCAAGACGAGTAAAACAGAGACAGACAAGCTCATTAAATTTGGTGTCTTAAATTTGGTACAATGCTATTGTCATATCTTGCAATAGCATATTGCATCTTGCATATCTAACAGCTCTGCAACTGTTAGAAGAACATGCTTTACCTATTTAACATGTTCTCACTGCTATTTGAAAGACTGGTTAACTTTTTGGTAGTTAAACTTACTAACCATTTTTCAACTTCAGAATTATAGAGGAGCTGACCATAAGAGTCTCCAGGGAGAAAACTGTTCTTCTTTTCTTCTTAAGATAGATCAAAATTTAAGGAGAAGTGAGGAAGTTGTGATGAAATAAATACAATGATTATTTAGTTAATTGTTTAGTCTTTTTAATTTTATCTTTGTAACTGTAAAAGCAATATAGCTACATTAAAAAAAAAAATTGGAAGCCAGAGACATGAAAACAAAATCACCCACAATCCCACAACCAACAACTGTTATTATTTATTGAGAATTGACTCCTAACTTATTTCATCCAATTGCATAAAATTTTTGTAGGGTGATCTATTTTTCAAAACAGTTATATCATCCACATTGTACAAAAGGGTATATTAAAATATACAGCAGGTCTCTTTTGTATCATATCTTTTAGTTTTCCAGTGTGCTCCCCAACCCCACCCCAAACCTCTATTATCAATGTCTCTTATTTTCTTCTGTAGATGACCGACCCATTAACCAGAAATATGTGTGTATACAAAGCTTCTAGTCTCCTTTGTCAACGCTCTTTTTCTTCCCCTACAAAATGGCAGCCCATTGTGTATCCTGTTTTGCACTTTTTTGCAATTCATTTAACAATATTACTTTGATATAATTCCATATACAGTGCCCTGGAAATTTAACATTATAATTATTCATATTGCCACATACTCTTTATAATCATTGTCCTCAATGGCTGCAAAATGTTTGAGTAAATGATTCATTCGTTAAAAAAATATTTATCAAGCACCTGCCACATAAGCAAGGCGCTAGTGATTCTAAAATTAAAAGGAGATGGACCACACCCTTGAAGGAGTCACAGCAGAGTGGAGCAGACAGGCAGGGAAACAAGTAATTACAGGTAGTCTCCTAGTGCAAAATGGAAGAATGTAGGAAGTGTTGAGGGAACAAAAGAAAGAACCTTGCAAATGCTGGATGGGTGAAATAAGTGAAAGGGATTAAATGCACACTTATGGTGATGAGCACTGAGCAAGGCATAGAATTGTTGAATCCCTATGGTGTACCCCTGAAACTAATATAACAGTGCATGCTAACCACACTGGAGCTAAAAAGTGTTGAGGATAAGTAAGAGGAGTCAGCTTGCAGACAAAGGGCAAGGAGAGTGTTTTAGGCAGAGGCAAGAATGACATGGGCACAGGCAAAAAACATGAAGTAACATTATGGTCCAGGTTCAGGTGGCAACAAGGACACGGCCATAGTCCCTACCCCAGGATCTTTAAGCTGTGGCCAAATCTTCAATATAAATAATGCCATGATGTACAAATTGCAGTATATAACTTTCCCCATATTTTGGAGTATTTCTTTGGCTAGATTCCCAGAAGTCGGACTGCTGAGTCAAAGTGTAGGCACTCCCTGACCTGGGACACAGCCAAAATGCCTTCCAAATGCATGATATCCGTTCACAAGGACCAGCAACGAATGAGGAAACCAGTGCTCATTATCTTAATACCTTTGTAATTATTTTTTTTAAAAAAATTATTTATTTATTTATTCATTAATTCATTCTTTTTAAGTAGGCTGCACACCCAACGTGGGGTTCAAACTCGAGTCTGAGGTCAAGAGTTGCATGCTTCACCTGACCGAGCCAGCTAGAGGCCCCCTATCATTAATTTGTTTTAATGTCTATTTCTATTACTGGTAAGGTTGATTTTCACCGTATATTTATTACTATTCATATTTGTTTGTATATAGTTTGTTTTCTGTTTATACTCAATCATTGAGATTTCATATTTAGCTTCAGCTATATGAGCCCTACTTACAGACATTCAGACTTTTTTTCATGTCTGCTGTCAATATTCTTTCCCTGGTTTAGGTTGCCTTTTAAAACAATGCTTGATGCATTTTAAGATACTACCCAGTCATATCCACATCATTTTCTTCTTTTGCTTCTTAGGTGAGAAATACTTCTAGCTAGAGGTTAAACAAATACTCTGTTTTCTTCTGGTTTGCTTTACAAAGGTACTTAAACTTACTTTTGACATAGGAAATGAGAATTCAACTAGTCTTCCCGATTACTGATGAGTTATCTGAACTTTCCCTTCTTTGTTTTTATTTCAAAGATAAATCCTGCTTAGGGATCAACTCAACTTAGATCCAATTGGATCTAATTTCCAGTCCTTTTCTGAATTGTGTTAGCTCTATTTAAGAAAGACCTTTCCTCTGACTTATTCAGGAATCTACAGGAACTGTTCTATTTATATATATAGAAAGAGTTACAATATCGCAGGAATAGGTCTAGGTAAAGCTTCTCAGTGCCTTCCTGTTAGAAGGGAATCTGCTGTTGAAGGCAGACCTTACCTTTGAAGCTTAGCCTACCTGGTTAGTATGCTGTGTGTTTTCCGTAGGTGGAGGGCACTTATGAGGGAGAGAGGGTTCTATCATCCAAAGGGCTGAGTCACTGTGTTAGCTAGTATCATAGTTCTGTGGTATTGAATAGATAGGATCTCCTGATCCTCTCACGTTTGTGGGTCCCCTGTGACCTCAATATACCCTCAATCCCTCTCAAGGCCACGCTTATCTCAAAGGATGGTTTATTGCAAGAAAAAGCAACTTCTTGGCTCCAAAGCTGGATTACAGGTTGTCAACTAGCTATCCTATTTTTGAGAAAAGTGATAGGCAGTTAACCAGAGAAACCCTATGCAAAAGGTTCTCAAACATAAGCCTACTAAGTATCACATGGGGAGTTTAGGAAACACGCAGATTTCTTTAAAAAAAATTTTTTTTTTCAACGTTTATTTATTTTTGGGACAGAGAGAGACAGAGCATGAACGGGGGAGGGGCAGAGAGAGAGGGAGTCACAGAATCGGAAACAGGCTCCAGGCTCTTAGCCATCAGCCCAGAGCCTGACGCGGGGCTAGAACTCACAGACCGCGAGATCGTGACCTGGCTGAAGTCGGACGCTCAACCGACTGCGCCACCCAGGCGCCCCGGAAACACGCAGATTTCTGCGTGCAGTACCAGGTTACATGAGTGGTGCTGGAAATCTTTCCTGATTTCATCTCTCCTTCTAATTCTGTGAAGCTTGGAAAAAACATTTCCATACACATTTACACACAGTTCTGAACTGCTCATATTTCGAACCTGCTCCCTAGCACCCATGACGGTGCTCCAGGAGGAGGTCGGATACGCAACAAATAGGCACACCTTCTCAGCGCTCTAAAACAGTTTCCAGCCACGCGTTCTATCCTTCCCCAGGGGTCAAAAGCTTAATGGTTTATGATTTATAATCCCAATTCCAACTTCCCAGAAGACTTCCTGGAACCAGTCAGGATCTTCGGCACTATTCCTTCTCGCGGGGGCATTTGCTGTCCGAGTTTGTGTTTACTACAAGACCCTAGGGTGAGAATTGTATCCCGGCTGGGATTCCTTTGAGCCATCTCTCCTTGGTTGTCCGCATTTCTGGGACGAGGCTCATGTTTCCGGCAGGTGGGGAGGTTGGGTTGGAGCCACACTTGGATTCCGGAGACGTTCCTTTGCAATTCTCCCAATCTACTCGCCCCATTTCCCGTCTCTTTTTTTCTCCCCCACCCCAACCCTCTGCTCCCAGCAAAGTCTACGACCCCTTTCCACTCACGCTCAGTGGCCGGGAGTCTTCTCTTGCAGCACTACCGGGTGGTGGAGGAGGGGGCGAGTGTGGTCACACCCGGAAGGGGGCTTGTCCGGGAACAGGGGTCTCGCAGGATCCGTACTACCCAGCCCTCTCGCCCCGGAGCGACCCTCTCCCCCGCGTACCCCCAGATGCAGTCTGCCGCAGCGGGTGGCGGAGAGGGACCCACTGCTCTTCAATCCCAGTCTCTCCGCCAGGCTGCTCCCAATCCCGGGGCGCACTTCCTCCTCCCTTCCGCCAGTCTTCCTCCCCACCTACCCCGCTGCCGCGCTGGGGGGTCGGCGGCGCTCCCGGCTGGTCCTAGAAGGGGCGGGGAGAAAGGCAGCGGGAGGAGCGGAGAGCGGTGGCAGGAGGCGGTGCGGCTACGTGGGCCCGCGGCCGCCCGGGAGCGCCCGAGCCCGTACGCGCGCGCGCGAGCCTCCCCGAGGCTCTGGCGGCGGGCAGCCGGCGGCAGGGCGGAGCTGCGGGCGGAGGAGCCGCGCGCCGAGCGGGCGGAGCGAGCGGCGGGCGGAGCGAGGGGTGGGAGGGCGCGCGCGAGCCGGCGGGCGGGCGAGCGAGTAGCGTCTCCACCAGCATCTGCTGTGGCCGCGTTTCCCCGAAGCTCGGAGACCGACGGACCGACAGATCGCCTGGCGGACAGACGCGGGCTCTCGTCTTGGGCTCGGGGCCAGCTTTGGCGAGGCTCGGGGTTTGCAGCGCGCGGTTTCTCCGCTAGCTCACGGCCACCCCGGCTCCGGCGGCCTCGACGCGCAGGGGGCTGGAGGTGCGGGAGCGGCTCTCCGCCGGTCGGTCCCCGTGCGGCTCAGCCGCGGCCCGGAGCTGCGTCCCAGATCCCCTGCTCCCCTCCGGGCTGCTCCGAGCAACGGTGCTCCGGGGCTCCAAACTCGGGCTGCCGGGGCAAGTGTCTTCATGAACCCAGAGGATGTCCGGGAAGCACTACAAGGGTCCTGAAGTCAGTTGTTGCATCAAATATTTCATATTTGGCTTCAATGTCATATTTTGGGTAAGTTGGAGCGCTTCTGGGATTTCAACTATTGTGGCCGATCGATCCGCGGCGATTTTCCCCACGTTGCTTGCTGCTTTTACTTTTCGCAGCCCCTCGGGCGCTTGCCCGAGCCAGGAGAGGCATTTGCCTTCCGCCTTTCCAGCTTGCGCGTTGGAGAGATAAACATTTAATCCTATTTAGGAGTGGGAAGAGGTAAAAAGAAAAACCGAGCCGGAAAGGGGGCACCCAGGCCTTGGGGTGGCTGTTTAAGGGACGAATAGCAGGGATGCAGATGAAAGAAAGGCTCGGCAGTTTGAGAAATGAGCAACCGCACGAATTAGATTTGCTCCCGGTGGGATATGGCTGTTGGGCAGAGCGTGGTGTCATAATAGGGAAGGCTAATCGGGCAGAGCCGACCCTGAGGTCCACCTTCTAACGGGGATCTGATTGGACGAGGGCTTGGCTCCGTGTTGCCGCGGCTGGTCTGTGCCATGCTCAGCGTGTATCTTCTTGCACCATCTCGGGCTTTGTGTAGGATGCAGATGCAGTGGTATACGGTTCTGTAATGTACACGTAAATAACGCTTCCTGCGCGCTCTTCCCCATCAGCTGGAAAGCGCTCCTTTTGCATAATGGACTGGCTAGTGGGCGCGTGGGGTGGAGGGTTTTATTTCCATGTGTATATTCTCAGGATAACAAGTCACCATCAACATGTTTCAGTGTGTTCGTGCCTCACGTCCTCCTTTTCTAAGGAGTGACACAGAGTGGGCCGTTTTGGGGAAACCTTGGAGAAATGCAAAGAGAATGTATGAGATACGTTTTATTGGGGGTACGGAGAGCAAATGCTTGAACGAAAGATTCAAACCACGCTCTGGCTTTGCTGGCAACACAGGGTGCTGGGCACCTATTGTAATTAGGCTGGGATGCCTACTCTTTTGTTTTGTTTGGATTCTTTTCCTTGATTTCACAAACGTGTTCAGCAACCAGACAAAGAGTTCACTAGGGCAAGGAGAGACCGTTGGTTCAAAGACTGTGTTATTCCTGCCGCCCCCCCCCCCACCCCATCCCATCCCACCTTCTTCCTTAGTGCGCCCCCCCCCCCCCCCCGCCAGTGGAAAGTAAAGATGGTGGCTGTCTGGGGGTGTTTTCCAAGTTGCTATTCAGTGTAGGTTCAGTATGAGACACACAATAATGCAACGGTGGGATCAGTCATAATCCACGGCAGTATGCACACATTGTGTGTTTATTTTGATTGTTAATTTTAGCCATTTGTTGTAGACATGTACAGCTATGAGAATAGTTATCCATATAGCTCTGTATATTCATTTTTTTCCCTACTCACATTAACAAAGCCATTTTTACATTTTTTCCTATTTTCTGTTGAAGTGTCTTGCATTGGTTTGCATGTTTTGCAAAGGGAAATGGAAGGGTTTGGGGACCACTCTGTGTCACCATGTCATCTGTCCTCAAGACTCATAAAGAGAATGGGGGGAGGTGGATAACGTGGATAAATATTGTATCTAGTCATTCACAGACAGGTTTGTATGTTTTTCTTGCCAGAGATTGTATGTGATTCCTGTGAGTGGTCGCCCCCTCCCTGCTGCAATTAATAGGAAGAAGAAATTAATTGTTTTTCTTTGCTTCTCTTTTTTTCATCTGAAAAATGTTGAAAAGTGCTGGCTAGTCACATTTCTGAATGAGGTGTTTTGATTTTATTGGACCTTGAAACTTTGTGACTTTGAGAGTCAGGGACTACTGAACTGAGACTGGACCTTGTTGAGGTAATGAGTCCAGGCCTCTGCATTCTACTTGAACACTTTCAAAAGTTGCATGTTTCAGCTACCAGGCAACAGAAAGCACCCAGGGGCTTTCTCTGTAGTTTCATAGCAGGAGGTGGAAAAGACATAAAGGGATTTGGGCCTGTTTCCCTAACAGTTTGGTGTAGTTTTGTACAGTATACAGAGGAAAATTTAGTATTTTCTGTGGATTGGGTTGTAGCAGTTCCACTAGAACTGTGGAGAGCATCAAAGAATTACGGAATGCGTGCATAGAGACTTCCAGAATAGAGCTTCCTCTTGTTTGATTTTGAAGGTCTTTTGGTGGGAGTTTTATGGGAAGCCTGAGAGGAAACCTAGGCTGTGGAACTAAACAAGCTACCCCAGGCAAAATTGTTAAGTGGAAGCCTTCCTTATAGCCCTTCTCTGCTTTGTATATGCTTCCTGCCTCCTTTCTGTGCCTAGTGCCTTTTACCCAGATGCCCCTTCATACCTTTCCTATCCTGCTGTCTACTTCAAAATTACCCCATATTTAAATCTCCCAGTGTGTCAGTACCATAGTCTCTCGTCACAATCAGCAGGAAGGTAACATGACATTCGATTAAAGTACGGTAATTCAGACTAAGATATTAGTGACTGAAGAACAGGGGTCAGTAACTTGGCAGTCTGCTTCTGTCAAGTTGCACATCTCTGCTCAATGCAGAGTTACCATCCTGTCAGTTACTGCCAGAAACAGCAGACTCGATGCTACCCTTACACAGTTATGAAGAAGAGATTCGTAATAGAGAGCACGGCTTCCTAATCTTTCATTTTCATGCTGTGAGATGCTAGAATAAATGTGAAATACATCGAGGACGTTTGGAGGTGTAGTTCTGGTGAAATAAAATTGACATGTGGACATTGTCACCCTGGCACTGTGAGCTTGGTTCTCTTGCTAATGGGTAGTTTGACTCCTTGCTAGTCAGTTAACTGCCCTGGGCCTCAGTTTCTCAGCTCTTAAAATGAAGGAGTTGGATGAATTGTAAGGTTCTTTCTAGTTCTGACAAAGAATGTGTCTGTCATGTTCCAATAGGCTAGGGAAGAAAAGTACAAGAGATGAGCACTGTGTATAATGAAAATAGCATCTATTGGAGTACTTACTACAGACCTTTTCTCTTACTGAGAGTTGTCTGAAGATCAGTTTTCTTACTTCATTTTTTCTTCTTGGCTTATTCACTCATTGGTGTAGTTTGCATTCTTCCCTGTCCCCAACTGTGAATCTCAAATGGAGTCCTGTGAGTCATTAAAAAAATTTTTTTTTTATTATTAGAGTTACAGTTTGGTGTGTAAAATATGAATCCTTTTATATAACAGTTGTACGATATTCTGAGTAACAAAGTCAACATCTTGTACAGATTCCTTTCTCATTAGTTGTCACAGGGTGGTGGGGAAAATCTCATTTTCCCTATTTAATGTTGGAAGACCTCAAGCCAGAAGGGAATTGGTTTTATTGAGGGTGTCTCCCTACTAGGACATTTCTTGGAAAACCCTTAGGCTGCTTTGAGGTGGGTGAGGGAAGAGACAGGGAATTTTGTTTTAAAGTCTCTTTTTTGGGGGAACTGAACCCCCACATCACCTCACACCATTAATAGATGTTTTGCTCTGGACTTTTTTTTTTTTAATTTTTTTTTTAACGTTTTATTTATTTTTGAGACAGGGAGAGACAGAGCATGAACAGGGGAGGGTCAGAGAGAGGGAGACACAGAATCTGAAGCAGGCTCCAGGCTCTGAGCTGTCAGCACAGAGCCCAACGCGGGGCTCCAATCCACAGACCGCCAGATCATGACCTGAGCCGAAGTTGGCCGCTCAACCGACTGAGCCACCCAGGCGCCCCAGGACCTTTTTGGATTTTGGTTTTAATGCTTAACTGTTTGTAGGCAAGTAAATTGACCTCATTCTGGTGTTGTTGATCTGTTGTTATGTAACAATCAACCCCAACTCTTAGTGGTTTAAAACAAAACTTTATTATTATATCTCACAGTTATGTGATTTGAGCAGGCTCATCTGGGCAGTTGCACTTGGGGTCTCTTGGGCAGTTGCAGTGAGATGTGAAGTCTCACTGAGGTAGGATGGCCAGGATGGTGTACTCACATGACTGGCAGTTGATGTTTGCGTACAGCTCAGCCAGGATTGTTGGTTAGAGCACCTATTTGAGGCTTCTTCCTGTCTCTGACACTGAAAGAAGGTTCCAGCCAGTTAAAACTACTTACCTGCCCCATTGTCACTTTTGTCTGTTTTACTCATTAAAGCACACATGGAGTCTGCTAAATTTCAAGGGGGAGAAGAAAGAAATTCTGCCTTTTATGGACAAACATCAAGGTCATGTGGCTTGTGGCCATCTTTGGAACATACACTCTGCTGCACTGAGCCATAATTTCTGGTTTATAAAGGAAGGATAACATTATCTAATGGAATTATAGTTTCAAGGATTCAGTGAGTAACATATTACCCAGTACAATGTCTCAATATGTAACACATGGTGACTATCATTACTGTTATTGTCTCTAGACTTTATACTGGTTCCATTCTGCACTGTAGAACTTCTAGAATACTTTAGCCTGATACTTTGGCATCATTACCACTAGGTAACGTTAATACCTTTAAGATCTTCCTAGGATTCAGTAAAATGGATTCAGTAAATTTGTCACTTATTAGAAAAAAAAGCCCCATGGATCAGTGGAAACCTTGAATGACTTGGGAAAACCAAGAATGGCTTGGGGACACCAACTGGTTTTTCTCTTCTCTTTACAGTACTACAATTAGAACAGCCTTGGATACTTGAGGCCAAATTTCTCTTTGATGTGCTTTCAAATATTACATTGTGTCTTTAAGAGGAGGTTTATCCTGGGTTGATGGCAGAATATTGTATCTAATTTGTTTCCACAGGGCTTAAATTCAGAGAGGAGAGAGATTTAGGGAACCTTGGGGGGGCATCAAGTAGGAAGCCTTATCTTATGATTCACTATAAATTGTAAGATGTTCTGGAATGACGATACATCAGCAGTTTATAAGTCATAATTTTTGTTTTAATTTGCTAGACATCTGTTAGCTTCGATGGCAACCATATGGGAGTCTAAATTGCCTTTTGAATTACAGGGAGATGGTAGGAAGAAAGCTAAATATGGTTATGAAAGTGTCATATGGAAAAAGTGTAACAAAGGTGTATAGACCTCAGTAGGGAAAGTAATTGAATACTGAACTTGCT